TCATTCACAGATGTTGCTTTTTTTAGTAATCCATATCTGAAATCCCTACTGACTGAAATGCATTTTCAAACCCTCTTTTTTTTGTGCTTTTTGCCAGCATTGTTTTTTTCCTGCCCCAGGGTTTGTAAATGGCTCGCGTATACATCTGAGCCACATGACCTCTGCTCTGAGATAGGGAGCTGGGGGGATGGGGAGCTGCCTTACTCTATGGTGATGCAAATCTGGCACATTCACAATGGCCACATCTCCAACCAGGCTTTTAGACCACATTCTCACTCGCGTCCTCGCCGACAAAAACAGGTTTCAGCTAGGCAGAGAGAATAACTCCGGAGCTTGCAAATATAAGGCGTGCTTTGGTGTGCTGTGCGTTTCGCATTTTCTCATTCTTAATGTTTCCTTCAAAGTGCAGAACGCCACTAAGGAGCCGGAGAGAACGTGCGGAGCAAAGTCGGTAATCATTTCAGGCACGTCGCCAGTTGGTCCCGTTAAGTTTTTTTTTTTGTCTTGCTATGATATGCTGATACAATTTGGATCAACAGCAAAAATTCCCTTCTCCACTGGGATATCAAAAGTATGAGAATGAAATAAAGGCAGCACAAGCCAGCAAATTAGTGTTTAGTCATGCTCTTTACACTCTTATTTAGGGATTGTAATTCCCTGTGAAACATATGGCTGTCAGCCATGACAGACGAAAAGAAAAAATTAAGCAAACTTGCCAAATTGAAAACGGGGAAATCCTTCATAGTGTGTGGATGCTTGAGTTTTTTAAACAAGTACTCTGTCACTACTTTTCAGTATGTGAAATCCAAATTCATTCTTGGGTGGATATTGACAGCATGGTGTTTTCCATACACATCTGTATCACCTGCCTGTTTTGAAGATCTCGTTACACAGATATGAGCAAAAACGACATTTCCCACTGAAGGTGCACATATAAATGTTTATCTCCCTAAGCCAGGCACTTCCAAGTTGTTTTTCAATACTAATCTGACCAAAAACGCAGCTTAAAAAAAGGAGCCAATCGTGATTTTTTTTAAATTACGTGGCCTTTCTTAAATCAGGACCGCTGTAAATTTACATCTCCAAACAATAAAACATGATATTCAGAACTATACGGACCATGCATGTGAGTGAACAAGGTAACAGGAAAGAAAACTCTATAGGTATAGCCCCCATGTTAACTTTTTCTTTTTGGAGCATTACTTATTCCCAAACCACCCAGTGACAAATATATCTGAAGCCCCGAAACTGATACCTCACTTAAAAGTGTGCACCACGACACAGACACAACAGCACGTTAACACAAAAATGTGAATAAACGTATATTATTTAAATACAGACATGACTGAGAAATACCTTGAAACAAGAAAAACACTATGTGAAACATACTAGGGAATCCTACAATTCGAGAAATCTTACCGGCAGACTAATTGTACAGGCTTCTTAACTCATAATTATATGGAGGAGACCATTAAGGAGACATCAGAATTAAATGACACACTGGCAGACGGAAATTCATGTTTATGTCAGCACGCACCATGAGTCAGTGAAATATTTGCCTGTAATTTCAAATAAATAAGCATGGTGGGAATATAAAAAGAATTAACAGTGTAGCAGAAAATAAACTTCAATGCCGCGTTAAAATGAATGGCAAAACCCTCAATCAGCTCTTGAAATACTAGACATACAAAAAGTCGTAAACATCTCCCGGTCATGCTCAGAGGTTAGTCTTGATCAGGGACTCCCGCAGGAAGAGCAAAATTGTTGCCTGAGTTCCCAGGGGTCAGGGAGATAAAAACAGGATGACTCAGCTGCCTTGAAGGAAACACAAAGACCCCCATCTGAAAGCTGGACTGAGATCGCGGTCAGTAGCCTCCCAATATTCGCTGATTAGGTTCACCTGCATTAAAGAGTCCAGCAATTTGGATAGGATTACCATACAATCCCCCCGACCCACCACATTAGCGCAGGGTTTAAAAGCTGCCCCCCCTCCCCAACCGAAAGATGAAAAAATATATCGCTCTTTAAACTCTCCTGAACTAAAATGAATTACTCAGGAAACTCTGCTTTTAATTTTGCTTAATAAAAGATCTTTTAAAATGCCTGGCTATTGATACGTTAAATGTGCTAATCACGTAATAATATACAAGTGGTTAATTGATCTAATCTGTCCCAAAAGCTGCAGGAGCACATTTCAATGCAAAGAGCTGACCAATAGTACTAATATAAATATAATTCTTGATATTTAATACATAAGAAGAATGTTTTCATAGTACAATGAACCGAAGGAATACAATTTGTGTTAGAAACTAAACTGCCTTGTCTCTGTGTCCAAGGAAAAGACTATGGTTAACATAAGAGCACATGCAATCTTAATGGAGAATATGACAAAATGATGTTAAAACAGAAGACCAGGATATAACATATAATCTTCATGCAAGCAATATCTAATTTGGAAGCTATAATTTTAGCTTATTCGGTCACTAATAAGAATAAGCAAACCCTATATGATTCTTTACAAGTAGGAAAGCAACCGCGTGAACAGATGTTTCCATTTAAAATTTCTGCCCTACAAATGATTCCTTGCCTCTTAGTTTACAAAAACTGGAATGTTCACCCCGGACGAGAAATTTTTAGATCAAAGAAGCCACAGGAAGACGGAGAACAAGTGGGTGTGCTGTATTACCACTGCCCAGCCCACCACCTGAAGAGCTGCAGAGGAAAGCTGCTCCACACTGGAGAACCTCAGTCCAGCTCCGTGGGCCTGGCTCAAACCGAGAAATTAATCTCCTTTCCCTGGCTGCTGCAAGACAAAACTGACTTTTAGTCTCCTAATTCGGGATCAGCATACAGCGGCTTAGGAGTTTTCCCTCTCTTAAGACAGAAACAACAAGCTGTTGCTAGTTTTCTCTCTCTCTCTTTTTGAGGTTTCTTCTGCATTATTAGGATTATCACTAAACATGCTGTACCACATTCAAACTCAATTTCAACCATCTCAAGAAAAACTAAGCAGTTTCTGACAGGGAAATGAAACACTGGGTAACTGTGCATTCCAGAGGCTGTAACAATGTATTTATAGAAAGTACACCAGGACCAATCCCCAAATAACACACACTAACTCAACATCAATAAGATACATAAAGGAAATGTAAAATGGAGCTTGATATTAAACACTCAAGATTTACAAATTCAGCAATTGTTCCACTAAGGCTACTCTGTTCAAAGAAGACCATAACAAGCACCACTGTAAGCTGGATTTCTTTTGATAAGCTCATGGTTTAGCTTGGCCTTTAATGTAAAGTGATATCTTAGCACTCTTTTGCTGATGTGGGGACTCAATGGCAATCTGCACCTACTGAAACGTATATAACAGCTTATCAGCTTTGATCATTTACACAACTGAGGCCCAGAATAAAGGTTCAGGTGTAACTGCAGACTTAAAAAATGCCGTACTGCCCTTCTAAACCCATGTGATATAGGACACGATACCTTCTATTAATTTTCCATTTTCAGCAGACCATCACTCCCAGTACTACTCAAGTTTCAAATAAGTATAGTTGAATATGAATAGTATGAAAAAGTCCTGAAAAAGTATAATGGATTTATTGATGTATCACACTTAAGGGAAGCAGAATGAAAACGTCGCAGTCCTTTGAGTTTAGAATCACTATAACTGAAATGCACTGGTATAATGCCCCTAATGGCAGAGATGAGGCATAATCAATTTCTTTAAATCCTCACAGGACATTTAGAAAATACTCTAAGATTAAGGGCGGGCCATCCATTATGCTAGATGTTAATCCTTTCCAGAAAAGGAAGCTTTTCAAGCAAGACATCACCGCAATATTATACGTAATGTTTTTGGTTCAGTTCAAATAGACAACATTTACATTTTGTTCCTACATAAATGAATCCAACCAGTAAAATTGCCACCATACGTCAACGCAATCTAGGTCATTTTGTTGATAAAACCCAAGGAAATTCACAAATTCTTTGTTGCTCTACTTTGTCAGTTTTTCCGCTCAGCACGCTGGGAACACAAACACCCTGAACCAAATCCATGTTACCCAACGTGTCTGGATGAGAACAAAATACAGACGCGCCACACCTCATGAGTAGAGCAGAGGGAAATCAAATCTAAATCTGTTTAAATCCTAATTCACATCCAGTGAAAAAAGGAATAAAATATACAATACTATTCTACGCATTTCAGCACACGGACTGGCTGAAAAGGGTCAATTAAAACTTATTTTCCTGTTACTTTAAGAGTGGTGGAAAATGTCCTAACATAAGTGGGGCTTATGTGGTTTTTCTATTACACAGTTTTGGGCCAGCTGTTCTCCAACGGACAATCTTGTTACTGTATCAGAGGTGTAAATTGGGTATCAACACTATAGCAGAGCTCTTCAGGGCAACCAAGACTGCTTTCCAGACAGTCCCGGGGTTAAAAAGAAAGGAAGCACCATTTCAGGTCTTTTTATCCCCCCCAAGAGGTAAAGGTTTTGCAATCATTGAGAATTTTATGAAGTCCCAGTATCTCCTACAAACATCCACTGCACGAAGAGGGAAAAAAAAACCCCAACATAACTCACTCTCATTTTTGTTTTACTCAATTTCTAATAACTTTACGTACATAAAAAAAAATCAGTTTTTCCATGAGATGGTTTCTTGCCCAGTGGCTGCCTTCACCTCCGGGCAGGTTGTCTCTGCTTTCATGTTGAAAGACGCTTTTATTGCAACTCATAATGGGAGCTTTATGTTCATTTGTGGAACAAAGATCTACCGTGTCAGCCTATTTTAGTACCCTATGAAACCACACCGGCAACCACATTTCTAACCATTTACGACATAGTGCTTATTGACTGCTTTATGGCATCTCTTCTTAGAGCAATTCTGTCAAATAAAATGATCACGGTTCACCTTTATACTATGAATGTCAGCAGAGGGGCATATTTATTCTGGTAAATCAGATTGCAGGGAAGATCGCAATGCTCCCTTACCTTTTTGTCCTTGACATGATGCTTATCCAAAGACTGTGATGAAGAATCACTTAAGCTTTGAGCCCTACTACAGCGGCCTTTGCTCCTTCTCTAAAAGGAGAAAGAGGAACTTTAAGTTACAATTAAAATCTGTCCCGCGGCTTGTCCAATAACTTCATGTCCCCTAACTGTGGAAAAATGTATAACAAAAGTGATAGATGGCCACAGAAACAGCTTGTCCTTTAACAACTACAGTACAAATGGTTTTAAGCAAAACACCTTATACTGGATCCTAGTGCACACAACAAGCATGTGGTTTTTCCTACTAGTCTTTGCTGGCCAGGGTAGTATCACAAGTGTGGACATCTGTTCGTTCATACATGTTTACATGTTTTATGCACAATTAATCTGTCTCCCTTATAAACAATTATATTCAGTAAATGTTATTGTTTTAACAAAATTACTGTATTAAAACCAAAGGCAAAGCTGAACATCCAATACGCTTGTTCAGAATGTCGCAAAGCTTTTCATAATTGTAATACAGGCATTGAGTATGAGTATCTATAATATTAACTTCAGAGACGAAGCACGTTTGGGGACCTAAGCAGGTTCGATTTTTTTGCAACCTCTTAGAAGAAATTGGTTTATGAACTCTAAAGAGAATCTTGCTCTCCTGCTGTAGCGACAACATGCTACAGGACTTCCCTGAAGCTGCTCGATTAACAGCAGCAAGCTTTGGAGCTACACTGCTCTGGCGTAACTGATTTTAAATATGTTGAGCTGAATCCGTCTGGCTCCACTCCAAACAAAAGCTAAAAAAAAAAAACGTGACTCAATCAAAGGTGTTTCGCCAGTGTAAAAGTCAGAGACAAAACCCCTACAGGCAGAACCCTGGGTTTCTATTTACAACAATTTAACAATTAAAAAGCTCAAGGCATGGAGATATGAGTGAAAGTCAGAACACCAATCGTACTAATCAATACAAATCACAGAGGGGTTAGAGGGGTTTGTGGGGTGGGGTGCTTGATTTATTCCCTGATGCAGCTTATAAACACCCATTAATTTTTTAGATTTTTCAACCTAAAAATCAGGACAACCTTGTTCAATATAAATCCGGCTCGTTCCCAGAATGCTTCGCAGAAGCATTGGCTTTCCTTGGAAAGGCTATACTGAGTTTGCCAAAAGATGCATCGCCGTTTTACTGCTGGTCTTGGAAGGCCGCCATGTCTTGTGCTTTTCTTGTCACCCTGGACTTCTAACGGCTTCATCTGAATCAAATGTCCACTTAATTACCTCGATATCCAGGTCTCCACTCATAGGCAACTTAAAATCCTCAAAAAGACTGGGTGAGCTGCAGCCTTCCAGGACCAGGAGTGAATATCACTTCTTTCATCTGAAGACAAGCCATGTCTACTAACCTAAACAGCCTGAACGCACAGGCACATTAGCTATGAGATGGATGAATTGAGATGATTTTACAAACCCCCTGTAAGTTTAAAACCTATATAACGTAAAAACAAAACAACTCATTTCTGCCCATGACTGAGGGGAAACCTGTATTTGTAGCATGGTACTCCTGTATCTAGTCGAAGATGTTCATTCCCACTAGGAATGGAAGATATTGATATCCCAAAGACCAAAGTCCATCTAGGCTGAACAAGACAGACACTATCCCTGTGAATGGTTGAAGCACGAGACAACCCCAGCTTTTTTGGGAACACTCATACATGGATGCTCAGAAAGAAATGTGCCTGGACCTATTCTGTTCAGAGAGGACGGCGAGTGAATGGGTCTCTCACGAACCAGGGAAAAGGACCCATTTGATATTTGACTTGAATGGCAGCTGATTTTTAGAAATCACGCTTAGCAAATTGCATACTTATTTTAAAAACAGGCAATATGCAAAATCAACAAATAAGAAGAGGCTGTAAGAATAACTCCACAGGGCACTGTTCTGTTGTCATCAATACATGTTCGATTGGCAGATGAGCATAGGTTATTTGCTAACCTGTCTCTTGAGAGAAGAGGTGTTAGGTATTTTCTTTTTGAACGGAATCTTTCGCTTTGAATTCCTGCTTTCTACTGTTATAGGGCTGTCCCAAACGAATCTGATAATCGCACTGCAATGTCAAAGCAGTCTCAACATGCCTGGTCTTGTCCCACATCTTGAACTTGTTGCATACATGTGAAGAGCATGATAGTCCCGCACTCAGAAAACCTAGCTCCTGATTGTGACTAGAAAATGCTCAAAAGGGCTTATGAATTACTGAGCATCTACCATTATACAACTAAGAGGCAGAGTGTGGACCGCAAATGACATGCATTGCTGAAAAATGCATCATTTTTATTTATACAGTCACTTGCAGTACAACTATATTTTCTGGTTGCCATTTCTTATGCTGACTAGAGGCCAGAAGCAGGATAGTCCAGACCAGAAATAGCAACACTTCACTGATCAAAGCCTTACTCTTCTGGCCTTGAACAGAAAGTGAAATAGGAAGGGAAAGACAGCATTTCATATATATCTTCTGAGTGCCTTGGGATACTACTTCAGATGTTGTTTAAACCTGCACACACTACATTACACACTTTTTTTTCATAATCATTCATGTATTCTCTAATCTTTCCATCAGTTTTGTCAACACTGCGGATAGTTAGTCCCCCTACATGTTATTCATCCAATCTTAAACCTGCTTTTTTACTGGTTGTTTCTAATCAGAGTCACAACATTTCCCACATTCCACAGTGTAGTAGTTACAGCCCATTCTGGTTCACTTGTTTTTGTAGTTCCAATAAGTAAAGAAAACTTACACTTGGTTGATATAACACATAGACGCAGACTACCTATGACAACAGTTACTTAACATGCCTTTCCACAATATTCCTAAGGAAATACTAGGATAGGGTCTTTCACTCTACAGATTTGAAAGAAGAAATGCAAGCACTGAGTTCACCCATTCAGATGGTCTTGTTTAAATGCTTGGAATGCAAGCGGTCTTGTTTGTTGAACAAAAGGATCTACAACAAATAGTCTGGGCTCAACGTTTATAATGCGCTAAATAAGTAAATAAAAGGTCCGCACCACAAGTTGAGTTCAGCTGATGCAGACTTTCATAAGTAAGTGAGGCTCTGCTGCACCCCCTGAGCTTAACCTGAATAACATTATTAAAACTCAACATGATTTCAAGGTAATCAGAAAATATAATTAATAAAATCAGCCAAAGCCACTCATGGCAATGGGTATTTACCACCTTCTAAAGTGTGTATATTTTACAGTGCACGTCCTTACTAGTGAAAAACACTTAAATGTCCATGACAACTACAATTGGATGGATTACACACCTTGATATCTCGTACAGAGATGAAAATCTATGGCTAACACTGCTAAATCCTATGAAGACGCATAATTAATGAGCTACTTTGGTGCGCTCTCCTGAACTTTTTCATTCAGATGTGCTTGCTTTTGTTCATGTCCAGCCCCTGATGAACCTTGAGAAAAAGTGCACTCCTCTCCTCTTCTCCCTGCAGACGTAGCGCTGGAGGCACAAGGGCTACATGACTGCAGGAATACCTGCTATCGCTAAATAGCAGAAGGTTCTACAGTATGGAACACATTCTTTGCAAACTTCTGCCAAAGAAAAAGTAACGGGCACACTGAAGCAAAAGCCATCTTGCAACAGTGAACACCAAAGAAGCTGACCTCTGCCAAGTCATATAGAAGAAGTACAGCAAAAAAACATCTGGCACAGTCTAGACCTAGTTGTAATCTCCTCACAGAATCTCATTTAACTTTCAAAGGCAGTGTACAACGCCGAAGGGCATCGCCCCCAAATCAATGCACAATCCAATTGATTAAGACTGCACTGCAGGGTACCGTATGCAATTAAACTCATATAACTGGTTAATAAAAATAAAGTGCACACTTGATTGGAATAACATCTTGTGGTTTAAATATGTACAGATCCCCCCCCACCACCACCACCAGCTCCGCACTCAGCAACTGCACAGAATATCTGACCTACATCTAAATGACCAACACTTCCCCCTCATTCAGAGACAGCTTTCCATGCCCAGCCTGGTGGCTGTGCAGTCAAGGAACCCTTTGTCTTGGGAAGACCCCTGCTCCAGTGATAACTGGAAAAAGTCCCCTTAGTTAAGCCAAGCTAAAAAGGTCATCTGCACAGTGAAACGTGAACCAGAAACCTAGGAACAGGTATTTTTTCTCTAGTTTTACATGTTCTCCTCTCTTCTTTGGTATGGAAATACAACGAAAGTGCTCTGGTACAATTTAATCCAAAGTAGAATGCTTGAATACAAGAAATCATACGTTGGAGTGGAGAATTCTTTGGTGGTTCTTGTTATAATTTTCATGCATTCATTGAGTTTGGAAATTGGTAGCGTTTCATCCTTGAAGACTCACTATCGCAAAAGAAAAATACACTTTTTAAATTGCTTTGAAAGGGGCTGTGCGTGACGACCATTCCATGCGATGGAAGAATGGTTTTAAAAATACGAACTTCATACATGCTCGGAAATATTCCTAGCCTAAATACCTCCCCAATATTTATCTAGAATTTCTGTAAATTTCTATTCTTAAAAGATAAATTTCTATCTAGACTAGACAAGAATGACTGGAACAAAAGGATTCAGATGCAGAGAAAGTAAGCTCCAGGAGAATCATGTACTTCCCAATTTCTTTTAATTACATTAATTTGAGATTTGGGCATTTTAATATATTATTATCCGACTTTCCATTTCCAAAACATCTAATGTCTTCACGTAGCACAAATCCACAATTTTACTACCAACTTTTTTTTTATCCTACTACTTTTGGGGACAGACACAGAACAACTGAAATTCAAAGCAATTCCCGGAACGATAATTCAGCCTAATACAAGAATATCTCTAAGCAGATACAGCCAGATGTCAAAAGGCCGGGAAAAATCCAAACCCCTTTCAACTGGACCGCAGACAAATTTCCCAAAGTTATTGGGAATGCACTTTAATTGAAGAAACTTGTCCGTGCTTCTTAGAAATGAATTAAAATAGTCTTTCCAGAAAACGAGCAAGGCTTGCAAGTAGCGTAACCGCCTCAAATAATCGTTTTAACATCCGCAAAGGCAAAGAAATTTAGGGTGACGTGGCATTGCTCATAGCGAAACAGGCTTCCTGCAATGTAAAAGGCTAAATGGGTACGATGAGCACTGAAGGCCAGCTGAAATCTCAGACATTTGACATGTGCATAGCCAGTTACAAGTTAGTCATCAAAACTAACGAATAATGTTAGCAATCAGTAAAAGCACCGGAGCCTAAAATCACATTCTCTCTACCTCAGTTGGAATCTACATCAGCAGCGCAAAATGATAAACATATTCAATATTTCAGCTGAAGGAATTTTACTCACCCAGCGCTTTAGTTTGTTGAAATGCACGAAAATAAAAATTCACTGTTATGAAAAATGTAAACTCAAGACACCTGCTTATTAAATCTGCTGGTAGTCATGAACAAACAAGACGCCTCTGATGATACACAGCAACAATACACAGGGTCAAGCAATTCCATGTTTAGGTTTAGAAGCAGTCCTCCCTTATTTCATTTCCTAAATCTGATCACTTGATTTTCGTCCCTACACATGGGTCCTCCACTGTGATGAGACCTCCCCCACAACAGCCCTTTTCGTCTAAAAACGTTTTCATACAGACACAAAGAGAACACGTGGGTTCTGTCAATCTTTGACAAATTTCATCAAAATCTGAACAAATTAGATTTTTAATTAAATTAAATGCTGCTTCTTGTCAAAGCCCTGGTGCTTCACTTACTTCTGTGGGCTACATAATCTCTCCTTATGTTACACCACCTTCCTACTGACATCTTACACCCGAAGAGGCTCCACAGCCCCAACGCTAAGTTTTCTTTCTTCATATACAACCATATTTGCTCAAAAAGGCAGCCAAATGCAGCACAAATAAACAAATATTCTCCTCAGCAAAGGCTGTTGATAAAAAGACAGCCTACATTTTTCACAGTTTATTCAATTTCACCTCACAATTTCTGTCGCAGTATCATAAAATAGCAGGGCCCCGTGATTGGGGCAGTTTACAAAACTAGAGGTTCTTACCAGTTTGCTGTAATGGTACTTGCAGTAGCCACAGTACTTCACATTGTCTGCATCTGAGCCTTGTTCCTCACAAAGCAGCCCAGCAAACTGTGCGCTAAAATTGAGAAAGAAACTTAGAATTATCAGAGGCAAAAAAAGCACAGTAAAAAGAGGCAGATACCGTAGAGCTAAGACAGCTAAGTTATTTTTTAATGTTTTAATTTTTTTAATGTTTGTTCTGGAATTTCAGAACATAAACAGAACCATGTTTAAACGGCTCAATATTTAATTCAACACCGAACACCCACCACCACAATGTAATGATTCCTCATTGTATTAATGGGAAACGGATTTTCGACTCACCATGTTACATGAAAAGCCTGTCTACACCCATGTTTGTTGCAATTCATACATGCTCCTGTTGCAGCTTTGCTTTCTCTCCCCTGTTCTTCACAAATGTAGCATGTCTAAAAAACACCAAGGAGAAAAAGTTAAAATTAACCCCCGTCAGAAATAAGCATCACACATCCCAGTCGGTTTAAAATCAAGCCGGAGAGCCTCCGGAGATCTTAAACCCCTTAAATTTTTCCATCTACTATAGCAGCTGAAAAAAAATCGAATATAATGTCTGTGGCTAGGCATAAGAAGTTACACGATTGTCTTATCTGTAAAATGCATGCTGTTTTAATTTGGTTATAACACAACTGTCTTAGCTATAAGCAGTCCAAATGCTTTGCCTCTACATTGGAAAGAATTCAAAAGCAATTCAAGCGTGAGATTAACATTTTGCAAAACACTTATGGCTAATATCAGAAACAAATGAAAAACTCTCCCAAGTAAAATTTAGTCAGACTTTTTGTGCATTCTGATACAAGCACGTTACATTTAAGATAGAACAAGCCAGAACAGACTTCACCAAATTTTTAACCACACAAATACACTTTTAGACAGTAATAATTAGAATAAGTCAATACTTTCTTCCATTTATATAGCGCTGGTGGCTGTTAAGTAGCAGTAACTGCACAATTCTGTACATGGCATAAAGGAGAAAGCAAGGGTGCCACTTTTGCAAAAGTATTTTCTAAACATTTCTTCTCAACTGCAAGACCATACCAGTGGTGACAATGCTCCACATTTCTTACAGCTTTGATTATTTCTTACTTTTGATGTGCTTGATACCTGTATTTTCTGTATTATGTACAACACAACACACAAGTATTATTTCAATCTAATGTTCTGATATATAGATTCCCATTGATCCCTAATGAAATGTTGAGATTGCCACCTTGAGAATCTCTCAAACAACAGGATATTTAGGGATGTGCTAAAAAAGAACAAACCAAGTGTTAAGGACCACTCCTTCTAGCCCCTATGGGACATTATCACATTGTTCTACAGTCACCCACTTAAGAAATTCTATGGAGTATTTGGAGATACTGTGGTAGCTACATATCGCTGCACACAATCCTACCGCAAACACTAACCCAAAACCTAAACAATCAAAAGCTAAACAGCAGGTGCCAAGTACAGACTGCAATAGCTATAGGCATGTGGATAACCACGGGAGAGTTATGAAGGGGAGACTGAGCCCATTCCAGACTTATAGATCTCCTCCATGACGACAACAGGTTTATCCAGAGAATCTCTTCACTGTGACCAATGGGAAACTGGTGTAGTGGCTCCAACAACACTGTGCAGTTTCTTAAGGAGAAAATCACAGGATGGGGAATGAACAAGTGATGCTTTAATAAAACCCCTCTTTCCTATTAAGACATCTATTGTAAATATCCAAACTCGTAGAACACAACTGTTGGAGAAATCAGTTTTTTGTCGACAGGAGACCACAGCGAAGTAAACTACTTCAAGAAAACTTCTCATCTGAACGCATGGTGCATCATCCCATTATTTACATCATATATATAGAACTAGACCGTACTGACACTTTCTTTGGCTTGAAGCATAAATTAGTCACTATCCAGTGCTAAATAAACTGAGCACCAATATAACTTATTTTCATGTAACACAAACAAATCCATAAAAAACTTCTAGAGCTGGGGATGTACAGATATTTGGGCTAGCTACTAGACTGGTAATGATACAAGTATAATTTTATTACTGTCACACAATTTCATTCTAGCTGATAATGTGTTCCAATATTTTTTTGTCTCTTGGTGCATACAATGTTTTATGGTATAAAGAGTAAGACAAGTGATTGTGTAGCGGGCAGTGTGCCATTAACATCTAATATAAATAATAGAGGAAAGCCTACAAAATGGATGGGCAACAATTCAGTTTTTACTTTTACATGATCATTTGTAAATTACGATAATTTGACAGATTATGCGTTAAAGCTGTACAAGTTAGAAAACATGGAAAAACATTTTAGAGGCCAACACTAATTATGTAGAATAACTATTCCACTCATTCACCAGGGGAAGAAGAAAATAATTTGCTTTTCGGCACTTGAAAGTATTAATTATGATTTCGTGTTCATGATGTATTTGCATGAATGCATTTACGTAAAGTTACACATACACACAAAACAGACTTCAACCCAGTACAACCCAAACACTGGACCTGGAGTGTTATGTCTCGTGCGCTACATGACAGGTACTAGACGACAAACATCCACAAGTGGGGAAAAAATCTGACTTTCCCCCATGAAAGAAGCTGAAGTGAAAACAGCTAGAAGTTTCAGGTTATTTGTGCTTTCTTTTGAAAATACAGAGTCAGTCGCGGAT